TAAGGGTCAGTATGCAGGAGATCTATTCAATCATGAAACATCGATTCCACGAAATACCACAGAGCTGTAAAAAGAATGAGTGCTTTCTGTGTACTGATAGAAAACATTCTTCTAGACAAATTGTAAGGGAAGAAAGCAAGGTGTGGAACAGTAAGAAGAGGTCAAGTATCAGACGCAATACTGGACATTCGCATTAGCTTCTGTGTCCATAAAAAGACCCCAGAAGGGTCTGTTACCAGGGCAGCCCTGATGAAATAACAGCAAAAGTTCCTTTTTCTCACTGTTTTCCTTCAGTCCCTTTATCTATGGGTACAGCTGCTTTAAAGGAACCAGATGGCAAGGATGCCACCAGAGTTTCTTAACCCCTGACCAAATACCAGAGAAAGACAGAGCCCCACGAAACTGCTGCAAACTAGAACAGGTGAGCCCCAGCTGCCTTTAGACCATTAGCATATCATTATAATGCTAATGTCCACTCTCCAAGAGAAGACCACCGCGTACAAGCCATGCCTGGAAGAGCACATTATGATGTGTGTCAGCGTGCCTGGCGTCCCATCCTCCTGGCCCGTACCCAGTCCTTCATCTCCATGCTTCCCACTGTCCAGGGAGAAGGTGCCTTTAAAGCGAGGGCTCCCTTCTCCACCCTCTGCCCAGTGAATAAAACCTGACTACCTTTTCCAATTGGATATTCTTTTTTTGCAGCCAATACAAAGTGGGAAAAGAACTCAGTTTGCCAGTGACAGATCCACAAGAACCCAAAGAGAGAGGTTACCTGGTAGCAGGTGAGGGGATGGGGAAAGGAGACCTCACTCTGAACTTTTTATATATATGTATAACATATACAAACATATATGATATATAAATATATAATATTTATGTATTTTACATATTTTTTTGGGGGGTGGGGACAGGGTCTCACTGTCACCCAGGCTGGAGTGCAGTGGTGCAATCATGGCTCACTGCAGCCTCAAACTCCTGGGCTCAAGCAATCCTCCCACCTCAGCCTCCCAAGTAGCTATGACCACAGGGGTGCACCACCACACCCAGTTAATTTTTGTATTTTTTGTAGAGATGCGGTCTCACTATGTTGCCCAGGGTGGTCTCACTCCTGGTTTCAAGCAATCTGCCCACCACAGCCTCTCAAAGTATTGGGATTACAAGTGTGAGCCACTGCACCCGGCACTTTTTTATACTTTTGGATTCTGAATCATGTGAGTGTATCACCATTACCAGCTAATTTTGGGAAATGCCTGCTGCATGGATGAGTGAAGGGCCCTGCAGCAGGTTCTTCCTCACAGCCTCTACTCAGGGCCAACAGTTCCACACAGACGCACAGACATGCGGACTGTGGACGTGGAGCGAACGTGGTGGCTGTCTACTTTGTTCTAAGGACACTTCTGAAAGAGAAAATCCTGGCATATGAATAATTAGATTCAACTGAAAAATAACCTAAAAGCCAATCTTTAGCAATGAAATGAAGTTCCTGACTGGTTGTTCTCAGCAAACTAAAAATAAAATCCTGAGCCCCCAGTGGACTGAAGGGACCTCCTCTTGGCCTAGAGGACTCCAGAGTAGCCTTGAAAACTGAGTTCCGGGAGTGACAGGAGGGGGACCAGACAGGCCTCCATATGCCCATGCCTATGCTAACCACCGCTGGCCTTTCTTCCCTCAGGACTGGAACCAGCCCTTCTAGAGACTCCACCACTGCTGCTATCCACTGATCGCCTGCCGCTGCCTCTCTTCTGGATAGTCCATGGAAGGCACGCAGGGAGGGCTTTCGTGTCCTCTGCTTCGCCTTTTGACGTCAGAGGGCCGAGAACTTCTCCCTTGGATCCTGCTAGTGCCACCATGTTTTGAACACGTGTCCCATGAAGCGGCATGGGACTCAGCCGCGCACATGCATGTTTCTCTCATAAACACGCATGACTCCTCCTGGGCTTATTAAAATAAGCAGACTCAGCCCCCACTCAGCAGAAATTCCTCTTCCCTCTGCCCCTCTCTCAAAGGCTCTGTTTCTGGCTTCTGGCTGGAGGCTACACTTCCCAGCCTATCAGAAAGGCCACCTGCAGGCTGCAGCCCTGTATGAGAAATAAACTCTCCTTTCCAGTCTCAGGAACCTCATCACTCTTCAGCTGACATCTCCTATCACGAGACTGTCACCAAGACCTGTGAGGGGCAAAGGGAGTGGGTCTGACATTTTGTTTTGTTTTGTTTTTGAGACAGGGTCTTACTCTGTCACCCAGGCTGGAGTGCAGTGGTGCAAGTTCACCTCACTATAATCTCTGCCTCCTGGGCGAAGTGATTCTCCCACCTCAGCCTCCTAAGTAGCTGTAACTACAGGCACCCACCACTATACCTGGCTAAGTTTTTGTATTTTTTATAGAGACAGGGTCTTACTATGTTGCCCAGACTGGTTTCAAACTCCATCCACCTGCCTCAGCCACCCAAAGTGCTGAAATTACAAGCCTGAGTCACAGTGTCCAGCCAGGTTTGACTTCTAACACAAGCCATGAGGCACACATGGCATCCCCTTTGAGGAATCTGGGCAGCGTCGCACCTCGAAGAGACAGAAAGTCACCCTCCCCAACAGATCCACCTCCAGCCACTCTTCCCCGCCCACACTCCCCCAACTGCTGGGCAAGCACAGCCTCTGTGCTCCAAGCCTCCCTGATGTCCTTCTAGCCCACCCCCACCCCTCCCACCACACACCCTTCCTGTCATCCTCCAGGCAGGCAGCAGCAGAGCAGACCGTCATCCCCATTCCTCCCAAACGGCTCCCTCTGGCTGCCTGGGAACGGCTGGTCACAGAGGAATAGCAGGAAGCTCCCCACCGAACCCTGCTCTGCTCTAAGGCGGCCTCTCAGCCATGGGGCCTCGCCATGCTGGAGATAACCGATGGCTGTGCGGTCAGAGGTTTCGGACAGCCAGTGGCTGGTGACGGAGAGCTACTACTCCATCTGGTGAGCAGAGCTGTTCCCCTCCCTCCAGGAGGCTCTCACAGGCCCTCCCGTCCTCATTCCCACAAAGCACTGCCCTCCCTCAGGGCTGGTGTTTCAGTTCTTTACTTTCTGCCAGAAGTCCAAGGCCACGAAACATCTGCCCAAACCTCTCAGATCAATTCGCTAAACGGACAGTGGTTTACACTGAGAAAGATCCCATTCAGAGCTAAAGGTGGGGAACACTCAGGGAAGGCACAAGAGCAGCGAGTGCTGCCAAGGCCAGGCCTGGCTCTTACGCTCTGCGGGGTCCTGGAGAAGCGGGTGCAGGAGGGCTCTGGGGGTGCCATGGTACAGCCGCAACCTGGAAGACAGGACCCAGAGAACACTCGTCAGCCACATGCACACTTCTCAGAAGGAAACCACATGGAGGCCTCGGCCACCACCACGCCCACCAGAGCTTTCTTAACGCCGCCAGTCCCATCCTCTGTGGAAGGCAGAGGCAGCTGAGGCCAGCAGCCGCTCCCCAAGCCCTCGGTGCTCATGATCAAGCATGTCTGGCACACATGCAGCCCCAACCCAAGGCAGCCTGAGAACCGAGGAGCTTTCCTGGAAAACACCATGGAAATGTATAAAACTCTGAAATGTCTCAAGAAAGACAACATCTGAGGAATTTCCACGCTGTATGTCTGGAGCCGTGCTTCTCAACCAGTGATGATTCTGCTCCCTAGGGCACATTTGACAATGTCTGGAGACTTTTTTTTTCGTTTGTCACAACTGGGTCAGGGGGCAGGGAGGGGGTGCCCTGGCATCTAGTGGGTTGCCAGGGATGCTGCTAAACATCCTACAGCACAGAGGACAGCCCCGTGACAGCAAAGAATTCTCCATTCGAAAGTCAGTGGTGCCAAGCTTGAGAAACCCTGATTTGGAGTAAACATGTAGGCTTTAACCCTGGCTGAAAGGATGATGTGCCAGCCTATCCACCCGTATGTCCGGCTCCTACACAGAGCCTGGCACGTGGCAGACACTCAGCCAGCACGTGCTGAATGAACACCTACTATCCGCCAGGCACCTATGAAAACCACATCGCTCAATATTCAAGCAGAACTTACGAGATATGCATTATCATTACCCCTCATATACAGATGAATAAATTCAGGGCCCAAGAGCTCAAATCGCTTGCCTGAAGTCCCACAGAGAATCAGTGCTAGAGTAGGATTTTGGCCCATATCCATCCTACCTCAAATCCATCGCTCGTGGCCAAAGCCAGCCCTTACTCTGGCCTAAAGAACAATTCCTTAAGTCACTTAGAAATGGCGAACCCAGCCAGACGCAGTGGCTCACGTCCATAATCCCAACACTTTGGGTGGCTGAGGCAAGCAGATCTCTTGAGCCCAGGAGTTCAAGACCAGCCTGGGCAACATACAGAGACCCCGTGTCTACTAACAATACAAAAATTAGCCAGGCGTAGTGGCACACACCTGTAATCCCAGCTACTTGGGAGGGTGACGCACAGGAATTGCTTGAGCCTGGAAGCGGAGATTGCAGTGAGCCAAGATTGCACCATGCACTACAGCCTGGGTGACAGAGCAAGACCCTGTCTCGAAGAAAAAAAATAAAAGGCAAACCCCCAAGCAAGAAACATCCCACACTACGCTATTATGGGCACACAACTTTAGATGACAAATGTACGGCTTTCTACTGCCACTGTAAGACGAGCAGTTACACCACCATAGAAAGATGCTGGAATTTGGCCAGGCGCAAAACCCCATCTCTACTAAAAGTACAAAAATCAGCCGGGTGTGGTAGCAGCTGCATCACTTGAGGTCAGAAGTTCGAGACCAGCCTGGCCAACATGACAAAACCCCATCTCTATAAAAATACAAAAATCAGCCGGGCGTGGCACCTGTAATCCCAGCTACTTGGGAGGCTGAGGCACGAGAATCGCTCGAAACCGGGAGGCAGAGGTTGCAGTGAGCCCAGATTACACCGCTGAACTCAAGCCTGGTTGACAGAGTGAGACTCTGTCTCAAAAAAAAGGCCGGGCGTGGTGGCTCACACCTGTAATCCCAGCACTTTGAGAGGCCGAGGCGGGCGGATCACGAGGTCAGGAGATC